TAATTTAATGATTATAATTAATTAATAATTAATAATAATAAACATCTGCCTATCCCAGGTCCTTGGGAAGGACTCAATAGGTGGACAAAAATGCCAAATCCAGTCTAAACATCTAGCTGACTGTGTGACCAACCATAATAATAGCAACAATAATATCTACTAGGAAATATATGTAATGTGCTAAAACAGTTAGAAACAAGACTGCAGAGGGTCATCCAGGTGTGTGTGTATCAAAATATCAAGATGGGAGCTCCAATCACACAATGGAAGCCTGCCCCTTTTTAATGTCTGTTTGTAGATTTTTATATACCCCGCCCCCCTCCACATGAATGCTCCTGAGACTGCAATTTAAAGATTGGGGAATATATACAATATATACATCAGAAAGAGAGGAAGTTCGTAAGACAGCATTATGGGTAAATATCGATATATAAATAAAAAGGTTTGAAAAGAAGATCTGGACTTACACTTCACTCTGTCTGTAGCCACTGTTTGTCCAAAATGCCAATCATCATCTCTCACACTTGACAGCTATTGTTAAATAATATAAGAAACATCTGGCTGTAACACAGATTCGTGGAAAAGTGTATGTAGTAAATAATGATTCTAATGTGTAAGATGAAATATTAGCATTCGGTAAACACTTTTTAGTGATCCTATTGTGATGAAGATGCTGATTAGGAAGAATAATTTCTTTCCTATAGGGAACTGTTTTCCATAAGGGTACTGTTAGTATTATATAAAATAATTAATGTACTTGGTGATGGCAAAGAGTTGCTCTTCATTCACCCCACTTCATTAACATCAGATGTACAACAAGCTAGAACTAGGCTTATATTTTTACATCTTTAATTAGCTTTACATTCAGATCTGTATTTAACCTGGATATATCTATTTAAGATAAATGGGCAAAGCTGTTTAATACCTTATAAGAAAGCCTGTATTCTGAGACCTCCCTTTGAATTACATTGATAGATTTTTAAAATTGTATGGTACATACCATACACACACACACACACACACACACACTTACTGTTAAATGCTATGGTATGCTCCAGAATTCATCAAAATAGACGAATGAATGAATGAATGAATGAATGAATGAATGAATGAATGAATGAAAGAATGCACACACACACACACTGGATCATGGCCCATGAGGAATCAAAAATTATGTTTGTTTATTTTTACAATATTTTTAACTTATCCCAATCCAAAGACCCTGAGTGGCATACAAGATAAACACATAACAACAGAGGTTCCAAACATATCAAACATATCCTCAATAGATGCCCATAACAATTAATTAAAAATAAATGAATGGCAGAATAGTGGTTATTTTTACCACTTTATATAATGATTGGAGGGAGGGTGCTAAAATGTATCTCTGGAGTCAATGAATGTTGAAGTGTGGGGGCTACTTCTTTCATAGTTAAGGGGGAAGAACATATTTAATCTGAGAGAGGGACTGCCTTTTTCTTATGTTGGAATCTGATGAATGAGAAAAGAATATTATTTTACATTACATAAATGACAAAGTAAATTTACTATTAAAATGCCTACATTTGTGGTTGTTTTTATAAAGAATAATTTTATAAAAATTATTTTAAAAATATAATGTTTGATTTCTTTTGTTTTTAATAGATGTCATGTATTTCCCTTCCAAACTCCTAGCAAGTGTTGGAACAAACGTTTCCTTTTACTGTATTTATAAAACCAAAGACAAAATAATCTCATCGAAGAAGATAGTGTGGTGGTTGAATTTAGCAAAAGAAATCCCAAGTAGTCAGTATACTTTTGTGAATGACTACACTAGCAAAGTTACCCTTACCAACTTACCTGCAATGAAGCCTGGAGGAAAATTCCTTTTTAACGCTTTATACTGTTGTAATGAGAACAAGGAATGTAATCATCGTTATGCTGAACTATACATAATAGGTAATGTATCAGATTAATTCTACAATTATATATGTTGATGAACCCTTATTCTTTGTTTGCATATTCACTAATGTTGTCTTTCAAATAGATGCCAATATAAACATCACATGTGAAACTTATGGCAACCTACAAAAAATGACCTGTTCCTGGTCCATCAATCCAGATCCAATGCTTTTGGAGAGTACTTTGCTGTTAAGATATTACAGGTATATGTTCATTTTAGTATGGTATTTTTGAAAAGCTGTTTTTTTCAGAACTGAAGATAGTACAGTGATGAAGAAAATTCTATGTAATAGGGAACTTTTAGAGCTCCTGGACAGTGTGTCCCAGGGCAGATGAACTAGTGGTCAATCATGGACTGATGATTTAACAAATAAGCAATGGAATGCAGTGACCAGAAGCATCTGCAGGATCTAATGCTTTCATGAAAATGTGGAAAGCTGTTTTCATAATTTGCCTTCTCTTGACCCCCCTGCAGACACCTCTAACTAAATGTTACAGATTCAAATCCTGCTTAACTATGAAGATCTCTGAACCATCTTGGGTTAGTCACAGCCTGATATACTCATAACTTTATTGTTAAGCTGCAAATACACTTCTGAGCACCTCAGAGAAAAAATGAGATTCATCTGAAATCAATAAATTTAATCTGAGGTCTCTTGCCAGGGAAAGGAGTATTAGATTTGGCTCAAGGCTGTTTGGCTCAGTACTGTAGCAGCTTGGATATTAGCTTTTGCAAAGTGCTGTTGAAATCACCTTCCACCCTCAGCCTCTGTTTCCCATCTTCAGAATGAGATTAATATTGACCTGTTTCTTATAGTCATTGTGAAGATGAACAAGAATAAGATTTACAAAGTTCCTTGTCTGCTAGAAGTGATCTCTGTCTATCTCTCTCTTTCTAACTGCAATATGGCACATACCCCTTAGTAATCTTTGTTCATGTGTTCACATTCACATAGGAAGACTATGGCACCAATCAGTGCCATGGAACCAATAATTCTATTTTTTCCCCTAAAGTCTGCAAAAGAAGGAGAAAACATGAATAAAAGTAAACATATTATGAACTTGTCACTTTTAGTTTTTCATCAACTCAGAATCTAGATTGATAATGACCATTCATTTCTTTAATGTGGTATCTTGTAGAGACATTTATTCATTTTCCTCACATCCTATTCATTATCAGTATCAGCATTCCCACTGATTTTAGCAGGCTTTAGATCAGATTGGGAGGCTTGTTTTTTTCTGGTGAATTGCCAAAAGGTAGATATAAAACAAGCTGGATGATCTACCTATTTTCAAAGAGACTCAAAATCTATGGCTTGGTTAAAGAGGCAACTATCCTTCATGACTAATAACAATCAAGTAATCAGTCATGAGTACACCAGCTGTGTGTACTCAGGTTCTGGTAAGATGACACATGCCAAACGTCTTCCAGTACTTCATATAATTGACTTCCCACCTGATTGAAATGGCACTATGGAGAAGCTGAGCCTGAAATGCAATGATGAGGCCTGTAGCCTGAGGCATTATAGCAGGACGTGCATAGTTAGAGCGAGCTTTAGGCTTGTTAGTTCATTAGACTTGAGTCAATGGTGCTGACGTTCTAAAATGAGAAATTCTGAGATGCAAATCGATTTTCCGGGTATTTGCCTAAGAATGTTGTTTACATCTTAATATACTATAAAAAATAGCTTCGTCCCAGGGAGATGTGCTGAAATTACATTTAATGACATATAAATTTGACAAATAAATAAATACATAAATAATAAAATAGTTCCTTTTAGCTGAGTAAGCTGAAATAAATGGTTAGCTACAAATTTTATAACTAGATAATTAAAAATACAGGTTATGTGAAGACTACTCTTTATCACTTATGTTTTTATTTACAAAGAAGAAAGCCAGTTTGGTCTAGTGGTTAAGGCATCAGGCTAGAAACCAGGAGACTAGGAGTTCTAGTCTCACCTTAGGCATGAAAGCCGGCTGGGTGGCTTTGGGCCAGTCACTCTCTCTCAGCCCCTGACATCAGGCTTGGGTGACAAGCCGGTCGGTCAATTCCTGTTGCAACCAACAGATCAACATTTTGTTGATCGGGGGGGGGGGGGAAAGCAGACCCTGCACATGTGGGAAAAACACTAGGATGAAAAAAAAAATCTTTTCTACAAAGTAGTTATACTACTCATGTTAATTTAAGTGCTAGGTGCATATAACTGTATTATTTTCTTGTTATTTTAAGGAACGATATATACTGTTCAGAATCTCCTAGCATGCATTCAGATTCAGAGGTGAAAGAATGCAGTTTTCAGAGGAATAATGTTTATGAGTGCATCTTTCAACCATTTTACCTTCTGTCTGGATACACTATGTGGATAGAAATTAAGCACTCATTGGGAACAGTTACATCAAGGCCAGTATGTGTCCTTCCAAAAGAAGTAGGTAAGTGAAAGGCCTCTCAAACAATGGATTATTGCCCAGCTTGATTTGAACATACCATGGATTTTCGGGTATTTTTTTGTTTAATTGATAAAAGTTTTATCTTCACTCAGGCTACAAGCTGCACCAGAGGAGAGGGCAGAGGAAGGGGAGATTGCCATATACAGTGTTGGATGTCATGTCATAAGCTGCCCCCCCCTTTTTTTCTTTTGGTGCCTCCAAGTCAGAGTTGACTCCTGGCAACTGCCTGGACAAGTCCTTGCAGTTTTCTTGGCAATGTGTTTTGGAGGTGGTTTGCCATTGCCTGCTTCCTAGGTCTGAGAGAGAATGACTGGCCCAAGATCCCCCCCATCTGGCTTTGTGCTTAAGATGGGACTAGAACTCCCAGTCTCACCACTATGCCAAACTGGCTCTCTTATGATTAGCCAACTCCTTTTCTATCTGTGCTGCCATGTTGCACACATATCTCAAAGAGGCAGAACTTGTGGTTTGACTTTGGGATAATGGCTGCTGTTTTTGAATCTACACATTATGCTATACGTGTTCAAATATAACTCTTTAGAGCAGTGTTTCTTAACCTTGGCAACTTGAAGATGTGTGGACTTCAGTTCCCAGAATTCCCCAGTCAGCATGGCTGGCTGGGGAAATCTGGGAGCTGAAGTCCATACATCTTCAAGTTGCCAAGGTTGAGAAACACTGCTCTAGGGGCTTGTGGCAAATTTCACTGCCAAGGAAGAGCCATTCGCAAAACAGCTTTTTAACAGTATGAATTAAAGGAAAATAAAAAAGTGAGGTTCCTGTCTCACTTTCAAGATGTACATAATACAGTTAATACAAGCTGTAATACAACATTCCTTTTAAGATGTATCCTGTATTTCAATCTGTAATTATAAAAATGTAATTGCTGCTTCTTACACAAATGCTATTGGCTCCTGTTCCTTGAAATTCTTTTTTCTCTCTTTTTTTTTTCATATTCCACATCCAACGTATTCCTTTCAATTGGCCATTTTAATTATTCAGTCAATAATGGTGAGCCTGTGTGGAAGATAAAGATAGCTGTTTTTATTAAAACTGAAACAAAATTAAATGTGTGTGAAATTACAATGAATTATCAGGCCTTGCAATAAACATTTAAAATAAGTTTTCATTTCTAACATGTCTTTATTACATTTCCATATAGATAGGAAGGGTGATTTATAGAACAGATTATTCTATGCTCTAGAATCACATTACAGGATTCAATAACAAGTTCATAAGGCCTTGTGTGGTCATTTAAAGATTGGTTTTGGAGATTCAGTTCTGTTGCAGCTATAGATACGACAAAGGCTGCAGTGTTAGTTGTTTGTCTGCTCCTTCCACCTTTAAAGCAGCACATGAAAGATGCCTAATTTTAACATCAAAAAAGGTGTGTGTATCATGAGTATTTGAACTTCTCTTTGTCCTCAGCCTTACCTCCCTATAGTCCATTGTTCTAAGCATTTTTCTTCAAACGGAGCTCCAGTATTGTGCATGAGTCAGTCTGCCGGGAAAGTGTCTGAAGAATGAGAAAATGGGACAATGACGTCTTATAATGGAAAAAATAATACCTTTTAACCTTATATATGTCCCCCATCGCCCTCATTGTGCCTGAGATTATGGTTACTTTCTAGGGTTGCTGCATATCAGCATCCATTGCTGTCATTTCGTGAACAGTTTCAGCCAATCATCTTTACTGTACAGGTTGAAACATGTTGCATTTCTAAAAGCCACAGGAAAAATTGGCTTCCTTATTAAATTATTATAAAATTTACTTAAAATTAATTTGAAAATAAAAAATAGTTTCTAAATAGATCTTGCATCTGGATCAAATGTTAGTAATTTGGTAACCGCTCTTTCTATATATTATGGTGTAAGGCCTTGAGTCTTGAAAGTACAAAATCTAAGATCCAATTCCATAGAACCTGAGTTTGGCAACTCAGCCTTTTTCAGCCAGCAGTCTTCACCAGGTGAAGGCTAGATATCATATGACTCTGCCAGAAATATAAGAACTCCGGAAAAACCTTGGAAGAGCAATGCTGTCCTCCATATTTCAGTATAAGTTTAACCCAGTTGTCTTGAGTTGATACTGGATTGGGAGAGAAGGAATTTTTCATGAGAAGGAACTATTTTTTTTTCAAGGCAATAAGGAAACAAGGTTACTACTACAATTGTTTTACAATTAAAGATCGATAAGGATTTTATAAATTGCAGGATACAGTACATGGCTTTAATGAAGTACAGTAGGGAAGAAGCAATACATAGTTAGACAATGAAGATATTCAGTAAGTCAGCCAAATTTCTTTTGTTTACCTTTCTAGTGAAGCCATTCTCTCCCTTCAGTGTCAAAGCTGAAATCACAGAGGATACTGGGCAGCTGAATGTGAGTTGGAATAACCCCAAACTTCCGAAGAATGACCTTCAGTTTCAAGTTCGATATGCTGCTAGTGGAAAAGACATTAACTGGAAGGTATGTTCTCATTTAATGCAAACCAACTAATGCTTCACTGCGGATTTCCTATTAGTTTTATTAGTATCTAGTTTTTGATGTGCCCCTTTTCTCTTTATTACATAACAGATATCCAATCTTGGCTTTAGTCACTCAGAAATGATTTTATTCATTATTTGTTTAGGCATCCTTGCTTTTTTACAGATTCAGGAAGTTTCTGTTGTATCGGTTACCTCTGTGAGTATTGCTGTACAGGATCCCTGTATAGTTTACATTGTTCAGATGCGCTGCAGTATGACTGAAGGAATTGGCTATTGGAGTGATTGGAGCAGATCAGCTTATACAGTTGTTAAGGATATTAAAGGTCAGTATATTATCTATATGCTATTGGCTACTTATTTATTCATTTAAAACTGCATGCATATAAACAATTTGAAATATACATTTTTTTTCCCAGCTCCTTTGAGAGGACCTGAATTCTGGAGAGTTATTAATGAAGATCCCATAACGAGCCAGAAAAATGTCACTCTGCTTTGGAAGGTAATTATGGGAAGAAAAATAAGATATTCAACATCTAGTTTTGTTTTTATAAGGTTCCTATTGTGTCTTGCAATTAGGAATATGAAACTACCTAAAAATGTAATCCCTTTACTGTCTACACTGGTAGGGTAGTATCCTGATTTGGGTTTCGTTTTTAATTAGTTAAAAAAACATAAGACATTTTATACATTGTCCTGATTTACATAATTCTTATATTAACTAAGAACCTTTTTTTTTTAATGGAAAAGGGCAATCTTTTAAAATGTGAAGTTCCACGATGTAACCACTTTTAAAATGTAATTGTTATTGTTTACATGCAACTTTCAGAAGTGTATCTTTTTTTTCAGGAATATTTTCTGATTAAGCTTTGATTCAGGAAAATAAATCCTAGTAGGCTTTAATGTTAGAAGTTGTCTCAGAATAAAATTTCTAAATTTGTTTCAAAGGAATTCAAGGTGGAATTTTTTTACATTTCTACTTGTGATAGGCATAATGCATATTTTCATTGTCTTTCAAGGATACATGATCCAAACAAATTAATTATTAGCAAAATCAGCACATCAAAGATTTACAGCAAGGTTCTTTGGTGGATCAGGGAATCTCACAACTTTTAAAAAACTTGATCAGGTACAACTGTACTTGCAGTGTCAGCAGTTTATGTGAATAGAACCAAAGGCCAAAAGTTCTCCCTTCTTCCCTATATGCTATTGGCTATGGCTATCTTGCAATATCCCATATGATTTCAAAATCTGTTCCAAAGGATTCCCAGGCCTAAAGATTAGATCCTGAAGATAACATGGGCTGTTGCAGGGAGAAGGAGGGAAAGTTCTTTTGTATGAGCAGAAATCTGTTCCTATGCCACTGGATTTCACCCAATGCCTTAAACAAAAACAGACAGTCAGTCTAAACTAACAAGTGCTTCCAATGAGAATTCTTAGAAATATGGAACCAGCAAAGTAGTTTACTAAACTAGAAATCCATCTAATTGCTTTTACACTTTAAAAACTTTTGGAAAAATTGGTTTAAAATACAATCTTGATTGCTCAGCAAATTAGTTTAATTTCTGACCTAATTGGCTATATGAGGCAATGAAAGTTAATCTCCTTAGTATTTGTAGGAAAAAATATTTTATTATAAAATGAATAAAATATCTGCCCCTGTATTATTAAAAAAATTGAAAATTAGCTTCAACCCAAAAACAAAATAATATATATGTATTTTTTTTACAGCCATTGATGAAGAATCTTTCTTTATGCAGTGTTCTAGACTATGTGGTAGAGCATAATACTTCAGAAAACTTTACATGGTCTGACTATATAGAAAATGACACTACTTATACTTTTTCCTGGTCAGAAGATATACATTCTGTTAAAATTCTAGCAATCAACTCAATTGGAGCTTCTTCTGTGAATTTTATTTTAACTCTATCACAACAAGTAAGCACAGGTAAGAACAACCATTTTGGATAATTGCTCCCCCACAACCATTTAAATGTATTACTTTTAAATAAAGAAGGTATTTAGAAACTACTGATCTTATGGAAGTTATTCCCTTTAAATAAAGCGTTTAGGATTGCCATCTAACATCCTTCAATGCATTCATTTTGATTACTCTCATTCTGGAATGCTGATACAAGTATTATCAATACATGATAGTAAATATATAAAATAGCTAAATATATAGAGGACATTCTCATTGGAATTATGCAGTGATGTATACTTTCTTGAGCCAAGAACCATATGTGTCCTTTAGGTGGCAAGTAGAGGCCACAGTCCAAAATTAGATGCCAAAGTGTCCTAAGGGGGCATCAGTACATTAAAATGGTGGTGCAACTGGGTGATTAAAGTTGTGCACCTTTTTACCAAGCACTGAACATATCAGGCATGGATTTGGTTGCCCAGTTGCACCCACCATTTTGACATGGTTGACTCCCCTCCCGATGCCCCTGAATAGCGGATGGGGAACTATATTTGATTTACAAAATTACATACTCTTTACATTTATATTTAATGAACATTAAATATTGTTGACTATAATTAGGCTCTAACTATGTTTTTAATGCCCATTCCATTACAAAAATTAATGAAGTACAACTTTTTGGACATGTGTTCTGGGAGGCTAAAATTGTGTTTGGTGATCTAAATTTGATAATGCTTTATCCAAAATAGATTTACTTGTATTGCTACATGTGAATTAAACTTGTTTCTACAAATAATTTGCAATCTAGTAATATTATTCCTTTCTTTCCTTATGAAGTTTACAATATTTCTAATTACAAAGTAAAATAAAGTAATTTTGTTTTTCTTCTTTAAGATATGGATGAATTATCTTTCAACTTTTGTGCAATTTTCTGATTACCAATTTTTTTGTTTGTTGGTTGGTTTGACTTAGTAAATATTGTGCAGTCTCTGAATATCTACCCAATGAACAGCAGTTGTATAATAATGTCCTGGACACTTTTACCTATGGATTATATTGTTACATCCTTTGTAATTGAATGGATCAATCTAAATGGAGAAGAACAAATTAAATGGATAACGGTTCCTTCCAATGTCAGAAGGCATCAAATATTTGGTGAGTTTGAATATGAAAGCATATACCTGTTTCTCTTGTGTTACAACAGTACTTATGCTGGAAAAAATAAACTGGACATAAAACATAGAAGGCTAAGGAATTTTGAGTGTATAAAAAGATTTACTGAAAACCAATGAACAATGACAACTTCTAAAAAAAATTATATTAACAGGATTCAAAATATGCTGTGTAACATTTGAGCAAAATACTGTAATCTATATTAACATTATTTTTCCCTTCCTTTCTGTCTTTTCTAAATTCCTAAATGTCATAAGCGTGCAACATGGATGGTCAGATAATGAAAGGAAATAATAAATATATGTATTTGCTAAATATTTTACAGGAAGAATCCTACAGTAAAATGTTTTTTCAAAATGTAGGGTCTATTATTCTAAACGAATAATATTTTCTTCTTTTCAAGACTGAAAAACTTACTTATGCTATTGTGAATATCATTTACAGACCTAAAGTTAAATGTCAGGTCCAGTGTTTGTTTTACGCTATACATTTAATATAATTGCATTTATTTTTAAAAAATTATAAACTGCCTCACTCCAGAGGCTCTAGGCAGTGTACAGATTAGATTATAATATATTATTATAATTATACAATAAAGCACAAGATAAGCCATAGAAAAAATAACAATAACAATATCAGTTGTGCAGACTACATATGTTAATCTCCAAAGGCCATCCAAAATAGCCAGATTTTAGCTATCCTCTGGAAAGTTGAAAGAAAGGGGGCCATACTTGCCTGAGGGGGATAAGCTGCTCCACAGGAGGAGAACAGCCACTGAGAAAGTCCATCTTTGTGCCCCCTCCCATAATACCTTCTGATTGGAAGAGACTTTTAGCAGGTGCTTTCTGTTTACTCCAGTTGGGTGAGCAGAATTTATCTGGGACAGTAGCCTCTGAGGCTTTAAGCAGATCAAGCTTCTCAGTAAGGCTGCAGAAATGTCCGTAGCTGATGATTCACCAACATCAGAAACTCAGTACTGATGAATGAAAAAAGCAAACAAAAGTGCAAGAAGAGGCTTTGAATATAGAAGCATGGGGTGAGAAGAGGAAATAAGAAAGTATACTAGTTCTGGAGTCCCCTTTTTTCATTTCCTTTCATTTAAATCGCTAAGAATGAAACAGTTTAAGCAATAAAAAACTAAAAAAAGGAAGATACAGGAATGGTGTATTGTTCACATGCTTTTGCTCTGTGAACTTGGAAAAATAAAGGATGAACCTGTTCCTATGCTTCTAGATATCCCTACATCCATCTGTAGGAAAGTTTTGCTAAAGCATGAAATTGTTTGCCAGCTTGTCTTTGACATAATATATCTTAAGAAAGGTTGGGTATCTCCCCTTAGGTTAGGGAACCCAACTTGTTCTCCAAACAAATTGGAGAGCCACCAGAGGCCTTCTGATGATATGGTAACATAATGGAAAGGGCCTGCCTTCCTGCTGTTTGTGTTTTTGAAGAGTGTGAATGTGTGTGAGAGGCCTTAAAACACTTTGAAAACAGCCCATTTGGACCACATGTTGGATTACAAAATGCAAGTGATTTGTCTCTTAAAAGCCTCCTACACATATGCTCACCTTGAAGTTTGAAGAGAAAGAAAAAATTATATTGCTGAAAATCTGCTATTTCCACTGAATTTCTTTGGCAACATGATCTTGCAATGCTGGAAGCTTCTAGATATCCTATGATAGGTATATTATCACTGCAGGTTATCAACTGCAGGTTGCCCCAACTTAAATTGTGGGAGATATACTGTTACATCTAGTAACTTTTTATTCTTTTATGATTTTGGGAAGCTATTTTTAGGTCTCTGTGTCAAAGCAATAGAATATAAGAAAGTGCCAGTTTTCCAAACCTGTAAGTCTCAGATTGTTGTGTTTGACTTTCTGTAGCTGTGAGGTTTAGTCTCTTCTATGAATCTGATAGACTGGGAATTGCTCACATGTGCTGGTATTTGTAAATTAAACATTATTGTTTTATTCCAGATAACTTCGTTCTCATTGAGAAATACAGATTTAGTTTATATCCAGTCATTAATGAAGGAGTGACAAAACCTGCAATAACAGAAGGATTTTCCAAAGGTAATTTTAGTAAAATATTATCTTAGATAGAACTTCTTAAATAGTAATGAGAATATAGATAATACATTGGAGATGCTTCATAACATAAATGAATGCATTTTTAAAATCTTTTTTGTAGACTTTAACAGAATATGTTTATATTCCAGTTATGATAGTTGAGAGAGTATAAAAGCTGCTTAGAAAATACAAATGGTTTAGAAGGGATTGTGTTATCAATGATTTTGCTGTAGCTCAGACTACAAAGGATCATGCTAGTGACAAACATGCACATGTAGGAACAGGTCAAATATTTATCATGCAAGTTGCTTATCTTTCATATCTAACATGCGGTCATACTTCTTCCATTAAACTCACAAGATGGCACCCATAGACACAGCTAAGATTGTTGGGTGTTAAAGCAGCCAAAAACATATTAGTAAGTCTACAGTACTGGACTGCATTCTCCACCTTGTCCCCAACTGAAGAAAGATACATCACTGGGGAGCAACAAAAGGAAAGGTATTAACCATATGTATGATTCATGGCTTAAATCCCCATAGGAAAATGCCTTTTTCTTCCATGGTAGCATTTTTTTAATTAAAAAGAGGGTGGCTAATTGTACCTAGTGTTTCACATATCACAAGAAGAAATATGGTGAGCCTGATATTGGCTGATTAAATACAGAACAGGACAGGAAGCAGAGTTCCTTCAGTATTCTATGATGCAATTCATATGGAAATTTGAACTCATTCATGGGGAGTAAGTATTCCCTGACTACTTTGATTAAACTGAAGCTGAAATGCTGCTCCTTCAATCTGCTCTTTACAATTGCCTAGTTGAATGCATATCTTTTCTGAGAAGATGGCACCAAAATAGGATGTAAGTAGTTCTGCCTTTTCTTTGTTATCTGTTCTGCCCTCCTCAATGAGCAGCTGGTATATTGATTGTTTTCTTTGTTACTCTGAACATCTCTAAATAACCCCTTTTCCTAATCACAGTACATTCTGGTTTTTAGTTTTCCTGACATCTCTCTACAAATCTAGGCTATGTATGTACTGTTCCTTAGTAATATATCTCTTGTTCTACCTTTTATATGTGCCTTTTTTTATTTTCAGATTTTTCACTATATTTTATGTGCAACAATATTTGCTTCTTCAGCTCTCTTCCTTTTTATTTCCAGTTATTTCCAATTGCAATTATTTACAATTGTTCTTTTAGAATCTCAGTTTTCAGGAATTCCCATTCATCTGTGCATCCTTTTCCCATTAGCTTCGACTACTGTGGAATCCTGTATATAATTACTAATAGTTTTTACAATCTGCTTTCTTAAAGACTAAGATGTGTTTCACTACACTAGAATTTCTGCCCCCAGCCCAATAGTCTCAATTTTTTTTTTTCCTTTGTATAGTAAGTACTCCATATTAGTTAGGTACAAGACAAGGAATGCTAATTCTGCTGTAGCTTTCTCCATTCTCTGAAAAAAAATGTTGATCAAGCTGATTCCTGAGTGTTTTGGAAGGATTATTTTCTCCCCCAACAGATGTCTGAGCAACAAATTGGTACTTGTTCCCTCTTTGAAGACTCAAAAATTGGAAAACTATTGGAAATCTATATGAAAACTTCACCTATATGTTATTCTTATTATTATTGAGTGGTTGGTAGTAGATACTCAGAATCATTCTGGTTTTATTCCTTTTTCCATTTATTTTAACCCATATATTTCAATGTTGCAATGTGGATGTTTTATGTTAATTTGATCACAAAGAAAGTAATACCAAAAATTGGAAATATATATTCTCCATCAGTTATGCAATGTTTATGCTAATGGGATGTATAAAAAAGGATGCTTAGTGAAATGATAAAATGAAAAAGGCTGTGAATGAGCAAAAGTGCATATAAGAGAATGACTGCAGCAAAAAATGAGGATGATAGAAATATATAGAGAAAAAGAGTGGTGAAGAATGTTGTCAATGAGAGCAAGGAATGGTTAAGATTAAAAGGGACAGAGAAAAACATGGTAATTTGGTGGCAATTTAAAATGTCTTAGAAGTGAAAAGAGTTAAGCGTCTCCAGCAGAGTAAATGGAATTAAAAGTGTTTGAATGCTTTGGAATGAAACTAAAGTGAGGGAATGCTAGAAGGAGTATTTTAAAGATCCATATGGGAATGATAATTAGGTATCAAAAGTGGAATTAAAACAAATGCTATAAATGTAGTATCTAAGAAAAAAATGGATGAAAAGGAAATTATAAATGTGGTGAGAATGTTGACAAATCATAAGGCTGCAAAAAATTTAAAATACCAAGGTAAGTTAAGGTATGGGTATAGTTTGCTTATGAAATGGCTGTGGGACTAATTTAACACATATGAAGACTGTAATCTGTGCATAATGATGGCAAGTTGCCATTATTGTTCTCCTATACAAAAGGAAAGGTACCTGGAGTATATTTAAAAACTACTGGAGTACTGGTCTGTTAAAAGTGCCTGGGAAAGTGTTTAACTGAATTATGATTGAAAGACGAGAGTGTGACAATGGGCAAAATGTGGGAAGTGCAATCCAGCTTTATACTGGGCAGGGGGTCTGCAGATCAGATTTTTGCTCTTCAGGAGGTGATTGAAAAAAGTATGAATATGAGATAGTTTATTTTTATGTTTGCTGATTTAGAGGAGTCATATGAGAAAGTAAATTGGCTTCAGTAATGAAATGTTTTGTGTGAATACGGAGCTGAGAGTTGCTGAATATGTTATACAGGTAGTCCTTGTCTTACAACCACAATAGGGACCGGAAAATTTGTTATTAAGCAGTGTGGTTGTTAAGCAAGGCATCACATGACTACACCCAATTTTACAACATTTTTTTGCATTGGTTGTTAAGCAAATCACACAGTTGTTAAGCGAATCATGTGGTTCCCCATTATTTTGCTCATTGGAAGCCCCCTGGGAAGGTTGCAAATGGTAATCACATGCCAGTTGCCAAGTGCCCGAATTTTGATCCCATGACTATGCAGATGCACGATAGTCATAAGTGTGAGGACCGGTCATAAGTCTCTTTCTTCAGCACTGTTGTAACTTTGAACGGTCGTTAAACAAATGGTTGTAAGTTGAGGATTACCTGTAGGTGGAACAGTTGGTGAACAGTATGACAGTTGCTGAACAGTATATGGTGGACCTAAAGGATGCATGAGAATAAATGGAATGTTTACATTTGTGATGTTAGAAGTATGTTGGTTGTTGTCAAACTATACCTCAGGATTTGGCAGTTAATCATAGCTTTCCAGTCACTTAACTCCTTATTCAGTACCTGACTTAGCAGAAAACACTCAAAAATGACTTGGCTAGTTTAGAATCTTTAGGGCAGACAGGAATGAAGCCTTAAACACAACAGTTGATTAACCAGTTAAAGACAAGGAACTCAGAAACTTTTAATATATACCTATGCTCCAGGTTTTAAATTCTAGAGGTTTTTCCTTTCATCCTTCACAGTTAATGGATCCTTGGTCTTCTGATGGCCTCGGGAGGTAGCAGAGGTATGTTTATATAACAGTTCTCTCTAATGTGGGAGAAAACTGTTAGCTCTCCCCTCGTCAGTCTCAATTCATATAGTTGGGAATGTGAATGTCCATGCATTTTTCTATGTAGATGATATGTTGTTGGCTCAGAACCTAAGGAATCTGCAGCTATGTCTATTATTGTGAGCCGCCCAGAGTCACCCACTGGGGGAGATGGGCGGCATACAAATTTGAAAATAAATAAATAAATAAATAAATTGTATGATGCAACAAGGAGTATGGATCTGAAAATTAAAATATCAGAGACCAGGGCAATAATAGGAAAAAATTCAATTAAATAATTGAAAGTTATGCATACATGGAGAAAAACTAGAGTAGGTTGATGAATTTGTATACTTGATAGAATTTGTACTAAAGATGGGAAAACAAATGGAGAAGTTTTTAAGACATGACAATTCTGGTAGAAAAGTAGTGTGCGCTCTCTTGAGAAATGAATATTTGTCAAAAGAAAATAGTTATGTATAAGATGCTTCTGTCCATTTTGTTATATGGAAGTGAGAGTTTGGTAAGCGAGGAGAAATTGAATAAGCTGAATGCAGAAGTAAGAAGCATGTGTTGTTAAAAATAAAAGAGATAGTAATGAATGATTGTGGATTGTATACAAAAGTGAATGATTAATATAAACGAAATATGTTGAGGCAGTTTGGTGGTATAAAGAGGATTTAATTACAGAACAAAAATATGGAAAAAGATTGAATTGAAAGGAAAGAGAAGGCCAAGAAAATCATAGTTGCATAGGGTTGATAAGATATTCAAAATAAGAGAGGTGCTAAGTTAAAAGGACAAAAGGCAATGTATGAAGTGATGCATGGAAGAGGTAGAAGCAAGAGTGGTTTGCAATGATAGAAATGTATGGAGAAATACAGTGAACGATTTGGTGGGAACTAGATTTAACTATTCTTTTTTTTAATCTCATGGCTTTTGGCTTTTTGTTTTTTATTCATATTCTGTGCTTAGAATAACACTGCATATCTTGAAGGTGAATAATATTTACTTACTTACTTACTTACTTACTTATTTATTTATTTATAGAGCTACCCATCTCAGCGGTGTGATGGGTATGCATGTATGTACAAGTTATTATTATTTTTTAGTTCTAAATAATTCTATTAGACTGTCATGAAATATGGTTTCAGTCTTAATTTTGGTTTCTTTTCTTTTTTCTTTTTTTGTTACAACTATTTTTCCAACCAATACAAAAAACATTTGAAAAGGATTTCTTGTTCTGGATTCAGCCAAACCTTCATAGCAGCTGAAAATATAGTAATGGGAATGTTTCTATTTCACATATCATTTTGCCAAGTACAGTGGGATCTGACTGCTACTTACAACAGCAGGGCAGGGATTGCATCTGGCTTAAACTGTATTTTTAATCCATACAGTATAGTATTGATAAAATATAGCTTTTAAATACTTTTATATAGAGTTAGGGTGAATTTCTTTACTTCTGCTAACATATTTCTGAAGCATTGCCTTTGAATGCTTAGCCCTATTGAGTATGCATTGCTTAGAAAAAAGCTTGTTTTGAAATTACATTTGACTAAGAGTATAGTCATTTTCATACTTCTGTGGGAATATTTTCTGCCTTTTAATGCTGTTTAATGGTGCTTGTTTTAGAGTACTCATACATAGAATTGGAATGCATGGCTAATTTACCCAGCCAGTGTATTCTTAACTGTATATTCAGTTTTACTTAAATAAATGAAAAAAACTGATTAATTCAAGCAGATCAAGATTTAACTTTAAGGAGATAAGGACGCTCAAGGTTTAAAGCCTTTTAATCTTATTCTCTTTTAATTATGTTTGAGGCCTGGTGAATTTGGTGGGACTTTCTTGCATTGTGCATAGGATCTCACTGGAAAATATAACTTACAGTATGTGCAAAGATATCCAGATTTATTCATCAATAATGTGTTTTTTTTAATATATATAGTATTCAGGTTTGATCTTAGGAGACTTTGCTAGGCATATTGTGCTAGAATATTCTTCATCCAATATACCATTTAATGTCATTAAACTACTATCTTGCATGTGTATGTTGATTGCGATGGCAATAACTTAAAAAATATATATATATTGTTTTTTCAGATGAGATTGAAAAGCAGCATGATGTGAACTTCTATGTGATTCTACCCTTAATGATTTCATGCTCATTTTTGCTGCTTGGATCACTGTTGATTTTGCAGCAGAGGTAAAGTTTTCCTTTATAGTAGTTTGCTGAATCTGTTCATAGTGGGAGAACATTGCATAATCTGTAAGATCATCCTCTTGAACGGAGGAAAAGAGAATAAATTAAATTTAAACATTAAAATTGGGGAATATTTTCAGATTGTTAGAGTTTGCATTGTAGTATTATTATTATGTAATATTGCAGCAACCATAAGCTGTAATATTGTTTCTGATCATTCTTTTGTTAAATGTATATCCCAGCTTCTGTTAAAGACAGTGTACACAGCATTGCATCTTTCAGTTTTTCATGCAATGACTACCCTGTAGCAAAGACAGAGCTGGGCGAGAGTGACTGGTCCAAAATCATACAGTATGCCTCCGTAGCTGAGGGTGGCCTTAAACCAGGGTCTCCCAGGTCCTAGTCCACAGCCTTAGCCACCACACCAAATTTGATTTGTTCACCCTCAACCAAATCAATTCCTTATCTGAATTTTTCAGAATGAAGAAATTGTTGTGGGTTGATGTTCCAAACCCAAAGAATTGTTCCTGGGCACAAGGAGTTAATTTCCAAAAGGTATGGATTTCCATTTTAGTGCATTTCATTGTTTTATGTCTTTTATCTAGTTGGAAACTGAGGTCAATTATTACCATTACATTGCCAGTGGATTTTCAGATACATTGACAAAGATAAATCCAGCTAGGTAGGTATCCATTCATACATAGGTAAACATGTATATTCTAAAAAAAAAAACACCTTCCAAGTTTTTTTTTTTTTGTATTAAGAAGCTCCAGTGCTCAAACAAATACATATGCTATATGGAGATTCCATGTTCTGTTAGGACAATATGCAGCGAGCATTCAACATTTCTATTGGAACCAGGGATCTTCAATCATTAGGGAAGAGGAATCTGTCTTAACATTGTCTAAGAAATATGGTCATTCTCACAGAGTAGGGCATAACATATACAAAACATTGTGAATGGATATAATCCACCTATCCACATTTCATTTCTCTCTTTCATTCCTTTGGTGCATTTCTTGGTGATTCTTACATGGCACAGATGGCAGTTTTATAATGTATATACTTTGTAAATGAAACTATAAAAGTTGAATTAAATATTCTAATAGGTACATAGAAAACATTGGGGAAAATTATTTTTTAAATTTATACATTATTTTCAGTTTACATTTCCATTAAAACTTTACTTTCTCATCTTTATTGTTAATTTTATTTCATTTCATTTAAACAGAGAATGGACATTCTTTGAAGTCTAATCTTGGTCACTGCCCGCTGAACATTGTGCCAGCACCCAGACTTCCTATACAAGTTGTTAGAAGAATTATCTATTTGAATTCAGAAGACAGAATTACTTATCATTTCATTGTCTGCTGACTTTGTTCGTACATAATAGTGTTGGAACTATTTTTGTTCAAAGGTTATACTAATGGTATATCATTCTAAGAACACTATTTTTCAGCAAGGCAGGTTTTGTTGTGTAAGAGGAACACTTGAGGATTCAAGGACAGTGGAAACTATGTTGTAATCATTAATACATTCATTTCCCCTAGAAAACTCGATTAAGTAATCTAAGCTCAAAGAATAGTCTGGGCAAACTATCTTGGGTTGAATTAATAAAGTTGGGGGAATGTGGTAGCTGGGGAATGATTTTATATGTAACTTGGATATTCCCAGCACCTGATTTAGAATGACACATAAAGATACAGAGCGTCATGTCCTTAAAACCAGCAACATCAAGGGGTCTTTAATTCTAACTTTTTCTTAAACTATTTGGTTTGTTTTCTAAATGAGCTGGCATTTTAAAGTGCTTATTATGGAGCATGTTTTTCACTTAGAGCATCATATACTGAATCTCTATAAGCAACCAGTTCAGGACAGCCACATATATGTACCCAAGGCACACTTAGTATAGGTGCCTCACTGAGCTTTTCCTGGTTCACCCAGTCTCTCAGTTTCATATTCTCTCTACTCTGGAGATGCTCTGGATCTCCATATTCTCACAATGTCAGAAAGGTTGGAGAATTTAGAAGAATTTGTTTTCCTGTGGGAGGAAACTCTTGCTTCACCCCTCCTTCTGACACCTGACAGAAATGAGTTATAAAGGGAAGGCTGGATGGACGGTTTTGCAGCTCTCTCGTAGCAGATTTCCTTTCCAGCCCATACGGAACATGCCTGCGAAGCACTGGAGGACTCCAGCAGCTTTAGAGGGCTTGGGAAGTGAAAACAGCGATATACCCTCAGTTGAACTGTGCCAAGAAACAGGGAAGAATATAGTCATTGTTTTAGATAGAAAAGAGAATGAAAATTATTGTCAGGAAAAATAATCCTATTTAGTTTATTTTAAATGGCCCTCTGAAATTCCTCCTACATGTGTGACCAGAGAAAGTGGGAGAATCATTTCATCCGATTTCCCAAATAAAAGAGAAATTCTGTAATAATGTCATTGGGTATAAAAATAACTATGTTGGCAACATGATACCCTTTGGTATCTTTCAGAAGGTCATGAACTTTGCACCATTTCAGATTATTATTGGTGGAAGCTACCACAAAAAGTTATGAATTACACTTATGGCGATTATTACAAAGTGGCTTTCCCCCCTAAAATGATAAATTAAGCGGGCAGAGACAAAAAGGCTGAGATATCTGCTCTAGTTAGTAGAAACTATCCCTGAGATTACAAATTGGGGAACAGGAAATTCAATAGAACAGAACTGCTACATAAAATTCTATAAAAATGTACTCTAGTTCCACATGCTAATGACATCTACTTATATTCTGTGAATTTTCAATCTTAATGTAACAAAAACTTTGAAAACTCAGAAATATCTAAAAGCCTATTTACAAGGTATAAACATATTCTGTGAGACGATGGTGTTCATTACTGTCCAATTTCATGCTAAATACAATATATACAAGGGCCATGTACTTGTTTTACTGTGACTATTCTACTCCATTTAAAGTCAAACTCAAATTATTTTTTAAATGAAAATTATAAACATTCTAAAAGATTTATTGATTTCTGAACATTTTTCAGCTTTTATTTAGTCTAATTCCAGTTATAATTTTATCTTCTGTTATAGCTTGTCTGCTTCATTAGAATGGTATCATATAAAAAGGAAATGTTGACAAATTAACATAGAGTGACATATAAAATGAGCAGGATTTTCCTTGTCCCAATTTCTAATTTGTTCAGGGCACTTGGAAAATAGCTGTAGATTTTGAAGTAACTTCCTAAAAAATATGAAAGAAATATGAATAAACTATTTATCAGAAGACGAGTATTCTTCCTAATTTAGGTGCAATGTTTATTAGCAAATGATCTATACAAACTCAATAGAGTCCTTTGTCCGCTCTCACTTTTTGGCACGCTTGGCACACGCAAGCAGGCAGTGCACCAGGGAATTATAGGGAGTAGGAAATCTATCCCCATTTTTAAGGAAAGATGAACACAGAAACAAAATTCTGTTGACCCCCTCTGAACTCATGCTGTCTGCTGGTGCCCTTGTACTAGAAAGACAAAAACCTAGTCTGGATCTTTTTCCAAATTATAAAAAATTCAGCACCAACAAGAATGACAGAAATTATTCCCTGATAAATACTTAACAGACCAATACAGGGAATGGTTTCTGAAATTCTCTCCAACCCCTTTAGCAGCAGCGGCCATAGGAGGCATTTGTATGTGTTCTGTGTAATAAAGTATTGTGTGTTTGTTTGTGTATGTGCACTTTCTTCCCAGAAACTAATCAGGGTATATGCACAACACCAGTGTCTGCATGGGGCAAGGGGAGTCAGATTGATTGAAGCAGTTTTTCAAATGGTTTTCTGTGGAACCCTAAGCTCTGGGACAACTTGATGGGGTTCTGTGAGAAACTAAATGCAAAAAGAAAACAGGTCACTCAAACACAATCAATTTTCTATCATGAGAGCTTTGCTTCTTGATTAGAGATTCCAGTAATTTCTTTAGAAAGAAATTACAGGTTCTATGGCCTAAAAATGTTTGAAAATCCTGCACTAGAGCATCTCTGAAGCCTCTTCAAACATTTAGCAAAGAGTTTACCACCCCAGGTGGCTGCCTGTTTCATGGGCTGACAGCTTACAGAGTTAGGAAGTTCCTCCTAATGTCTAGCCTGAACCCACTTCACTGCAGTTTAATCCATTGGTTTTCATCCTGCTCTTTGGAGCAATAGAGAATAATTCCACTCCTTCCTCTATGTGACAACTCTTCAGATATTTGAAGACTGCTTTAATTTCCGCTCATCAGCTGTACAGGGCAAACATACCCAGATTCTCTAATAATTCCTTGTAAAGCTTGATTTCCAGATCCCTCACCATCTTGGTAGCCTCTCTGTAAATTTAATTTGTCACTGTTCTTTTTAAACTGTGGTGCCCATAACTTGACACAGTATTCAAGTGGGGTATCCCTATATGTGAATATGTGCACACTGGGAAGCAAGGGGCAGGCCACATACACTCTGTTCTGCATCATGTGACCAAAGGGAGGACCCTCAAGTGGGCTGGTGAATATTTTGACCTGCTTCTCAACTGCCTTTCAGAGTGGGATTCACTGTTGTTGTTTTTCTGGAAGCCTTTTCTCCACTACTCTGATACAACCCATTTTCCAACTCATTCTTTCTTTTGTTAAATTCCCCCTCTTGCAATTTGTTCCGTTTACAAAGAATTATCCTGTTGATGGACACACAAAATCCTGAACTTCTTTTATGTGAGGAATAAAAAGGGTTTATCTATTTTCTTAGTATCTATTGCCCTGTGTATGTTTGAATGTGATTATACGCACACATACACATGCTGTATGTATGTGTGTATGTATATTTCAACTATATACATAGAATGTTACAGATTCTTTTGGCTGCCTTCCTTGCAAATACGTTTCAGTTTCCACATGAAGTCAGTAAATTATTAATAGTGGATACCTAAGTGATTCCATTTTTCATTCTCCTATTATCCTGCAGATGAATTTAAATTAAATTATTTAACTATTTTATAATTAAAGCATTATATTTTATCAGCTAATAATATCTCTAACACACTAGGTTTTCATGAATTCTTTTCATTCTCTCCAACCCAACAGAATATCGGGAAGAAATTCTGTAAAGGGGCCGAGTATTGTGTCCGTCTGTCCATTCCTCTGTCAATAGGATAACTATGAAAATGGGACTTAATAGCACAGAATGGGACTTAAATATGCCATAACTGATTTGTGCAAGTAGTTACGCTCAGGGAAAAAAAAAATCCCTCTTCATTACAATGTTGTAACAGAATGCTGTATGCTTGTGACTCAGCCACATTAGTTGTTGGCTACTCTCAAAGAAACTCTCAGAGAGTGCAATGTATTTCTGAAGGACTACCATTGTATAGGACCTCTTCACCCATTTCAGCTGTCTTCATCAAATGTTTGTTAATCCTCCCCCTCTCTTTCTCTCTTTCCTTGTGCACTGCATCTATTGAGAGCTGGGGCAAGCTGAGAATATTAAAGGCACTCCATGTGGCCAGTGTATAAGTTCCCTGCAGTCAGCTAAATGCCATTCTTGCAAAGATCCACAATTGTATCCATTGAAGCTTTTGCAAGAGCTGCTATGGCTGGCCTAGGCTCTCTCCAGCTGGCCAGAAAGGGAACATAGAAATCAGTCTCCAGCCTGCAACCCATCCCCCACATTAGTTTCCGCATACAAGTTTGTGGCAAAGAAAAGCAGACAATTGGTATTGCTGCAAGAGCTCCAGAACCCAGTGCAAGGGCACTGTGTTGCTTTAGAGACATTGTAAATTGGGGTGGGGAGGGGGGGAACAAGGACCAGAGAGCCAGGAATGGGACACTGATAGAAATTGTTATGCATGGGAAAGCTACCTGCCTCCAAGCCTTCTAGAACTCAACTCAAATTGCAATGATTCTGTAGATTAATGACGATACTAACTTGGAAACAAAGATGTGCATTGCCACTGCAAAAGCTGCATCAAATCCTCATGTGCTCTTAGGCCTCCTTCATCTCAATACATGCTCATCCTGATCTGGATTAGGCCACTGTGTGCTAACTTTCCAACAAAAAACAAAAATATGGAAGGTCAGCTGCATAATACATTTTCAATGTATTTTAGCTCCATTAAAGCTAAGCTAAGAAAGAGCTCAGGAAAATGTCTTCTAGGGAATGGGGACAGAAGCAATATTTCTGAGATGCAAAGCTTCTCCTACAATCTTTTGTGTAAACCACCCAGAGTCACTCTACAGTGATATGGGCGGTGACAAATTTGAAAAATAAATAAACAAACAAACAAATAAATATTGTGGCTTTCCTTAACCACTCACAAAAGAGGCAAAAAAATTGCCAATATTTGATCAGAGTAAGTTTTAAACTTAGGGCATACAGTATCACCATATATTGTTTATGTAGTCTATATGAGAAATATACTTAACTTCATTCCGGAAGTTGGAGAGGGATAGCAAAACCTGATAAACACTTGCACTGTATATCAATGAGTGCTGATTTCTGCAGACGCAGCTGTACCATAGGGTATAAACACTGACAAGAATAACATATTTTCAGTCAGTTTTACTGTCAGGTAAGTGTGCCTAGAATTGCAGCATTTATTATCCCAAGGACTTTGGTCTTTGCTTTGCAGTTATTTTGATTACCCCTCATTTTATCCATCAGTTAATTTTTAGAGCCATTGCATTCTTCGTATTTTTACTGAAAGGAAGATGCAATGTATGCATAATTCCTCTAATTGACAAGACTGAAAACATATTATCTAAAGCTTGAGTTTAAACTTAAAACATACAAAAATTGAATATCTAAAATGCTATCATAACCTGCTGATTTAAATATATATATTTTTACTTTTAACATGTCTGCCTTATGTTGGTGCACTTCATTTAAAATGAAATATATAACCCAGGACATCTAAATGCAATGCCATAATTTGGTTCCTCCCTCCAAAGAGATAATTTCAAAAATGTAATCAATCAAGCTTTGAAAATGAAGAACTAGATTCAAGTATAATAAAATGTTCATTCGCTTAATTTTCCCTATTCTTGTTTTTTTTTCAGTATGAACCATTAATCGATAAGTGAGCTTTACAATATTCTTGTTTTTTTAGCCTGAAACCTTTGAGCATCTCTTTCTCAAGCATCCTGAAGCATTGTCATTTGGTCCTCTACTTCTGGAACCAGAAATAGTATTGGAAGATATCAGTATTGATAAAGCAATGAAAAATGAAGATAAACAAGAATTACTAGCTGTTGACTCACTGTTTGCAACCATTCAAGACTTTGAGCATGACTCAGCTTGGTCTATTGGTCATTTCAATAGTGACAGTCTCTCTGTACATGATGTTGAAAACAATGGAAGAATCTCAGAACAATGTAATGTAAAATATGCAACTATTATAAGTGGCTCCATGTCAAGTAGGCTTTATGAGCCTCCAAAGGATTTAAGCAGTCCTTTTGATAGAAGTTTTTTGAACCTTAAGTCTTCAGTTCCAGCTTCTTTCTCTAGCATTTCTTGGGCAGTAGGAAATCAAGCATTTCTGATATTACCTGAATATTTTAAAGACCCTCCTAGAAAAACACTCTCTCTCTCTGTTGTTTCCTCTGAAGTTTTCTCAGAACCTTCAGAACAAGATAAAACTTTCACTAAAGGTGGCAGTCCAGAGAGAAGTTTGTTCTACTTAGGCATGGGCCCACCCAAAAGTAATGAAAATGATATTTTTTTAGCAGAAAATTCAAATGTGGCATCATGTCACTTTCATACCAATACTCTCATTAAAAACATGAGGATTTCTCAAAATGTAACATCTGATCTAAATCCTTTTATCTGTGACTGTGAAAGGCCCCTTCAGACCTTTATACCATATATGCCTCAGTTTCAGACATTGACAGTTAAAGTACATGAGACAGCTAGTAGCAAAGCTTAATTAACACATACTTCTAATCTATTTTGATTATAATGTTTTATGTCCAACAAATTTTATTCATTTAGAACATTTTGGCAACTTTGGTACTTTGCAAGAGAATAGGTAAATATTCAGATTTTACTCATAATCCATATTATTTAACTCCCAACTAATACAATATTATACTTTCCTGAAGGAGAATGACCAGTTAAAAATGTGCTTGATTATCTGGAAAGACAAAGTAAATTCTATCTTTCCAAATAAGCAGGTTCTGAATGTGGTCAAACTAAGATGAAACAGAATCAATTCTTTCTGCAGTATATCCTACCTAACATTCTGTTTATAATCACAATCACATAATTCCTTTAATTTTTACCTTTGGTTTCCCCCACCCCTGGGGAAAAAAACACAGAGCAGAAGTTTTAACTGAGCATAATACTTCTGTTCAACTCTTTTTTAGGGCTTACAGTTTGGGAAATCCAAATTCAAACATATTTTAAAGTTCTCTATTCTATACAGGTAGTCTCCAGTTTAAGAACGAGTTCAGTTCCCAAGGTCTGTCTTTAAGTCAAATTTGTATGTAAGCCAGAGCAGTATTATTGTATAATGCTGTATAAGTAGTATTGGGTAATTAACTCAAACCACTGTGTATTTAACTTGAATTTTGTTATAATAGGCTCTGTTCTTAACTATGGGTCGTCTGTAACCCAGGCGTTCTTAACCTGGGGACTACCTGTAATTAGAATTAGAATCAGATTAAAATGATGTAATTACATACAAAATGAACATATATTTTCAAAATTAAATAAGATCAACAATTTTGAATTGCTTAGTGTAAACTATATGAATGAGGAGGAGGAAGAAGTAAAAATCAGATACATTTCTTTTTCACCATAAACCTCAGATTTTGGTAGTTTCTATAACTAGTAGTTACCAAGTCAATTTGTCGTTAGACAAAATCATACTTTATTGTGCTTGAAATACAGTATTTGTTTGCAATTTTGTGATGTTATGCAAACTGTTTTTTATCAGTACTTTCTTAAAACATTGCTACTTGAGATGCTGGATTGAGAAAGCCAAATTTAAATCCATAATGTTAACATTGTTAATAACTTATTTCATTAAATGCACTATGTATGTTAAATAATTTTTTTTTCTAACTCTGAAATTGTTCAGTCAACTGAAGACATGGTAATGACTTGCCCAAGTCCATGAGTAGCAGATTGAACTGGCAGAGATTTGGCAAGGTTTGCTGATAAGCAAATACCCCCAAAAGAGCAGAAATCACAAAGTCCAGAGCAGCCATCAAGCTATCTGTGGGTATTTTTCTGGAGTAAGCTGGGAGTAACAAAGAGCATCTTGGCAACAGGACTAAATCTCATTATTTTGTCTTCTATAAAATGCTATTTTGTGATTAGCCATACACACTGTGATAGCCATTCTGTAAAAGCATCCATGTTATTCTCTCTTATTCCAAATGAATTAAATTAAGCTGGAAAAGGTTGCCTGCTTCAGTGTACAGCCATTAAGTTTAAGTTTAAACTTAATGTTTAAAGTACTTAGGCTTAAGTACATCCATTATATACTCATCAAACATTAGCAATAATTAGAAATATGATATCAATACTTCTTATAAAGTAACTTCAGTGTGTATCCCAAAATTAAGAGTCTTAAGGTTTATGTGAATATATGAATATCCCCTCTCTTTGCTGCTTGATCAGCCACACTTGAAAGTTGGAAAACCTATTGGAAGTTGGAAGAGCATAATTTTGAGGCAGTCCAGAAGCTGCAGTGAGTACAGAATCCATCTGCAAAACAGTTAAGTAGGAAAGCTAAATAGGGTCATATGAACTATCAGACCACATTCAAGAAGTTGATTCTAGTATATGAAGCTAAAAATGGCTTAGGATATCTAAGAAGGCAGCTCCTTCTATATCAATTGACCTAGGTGTTTAGATTAGCCAGGAGGTGGATCACGCTAGAATACCTGACATTTTCAGTAGAAACAAACAATAATGGACAATTATCTCACTTCCTTTATCATCTTAGTTTTAACCATCAACATCCAGCGCAGATTTGCACTTAGGATGAACAGAGACTGCTATTACCTTTAGGAAAGACGTAGGGCACAATATCCATCCTGGAAAAGCTGTGTATCAATGGCCAGTGTCATGTATTTGAATGTATGTTTTTGATTATGTGACCTGGGTAAATTTAGCTATATGTTATGTCACAACAATTATTTTGGAGTCTTTTGATTGTAGCTGTACTAATTGCTAGTAGCAATTGTTCTAACTGCTGTGTCTCTGAATTCTTATACTGTGCCTTATGATTTGTTTGCCAAGTTCATTGTAGTGTTTTGAAATCTAGCTTACAATGATATAGGGACCAGTTTCTAAAGTGTACATGTACCATGAAATTCATGGTATAGCTTTATATGCTATGGTAAATCAGATCCCTATTTCTGTAAGATGCATAACTATTCATTCAAATTACATCCCATTAATTTGAGCATGTTCTTCTTTGATGTGCTTCTGAAATATTCTTAAAGTATTTAGATAAATTTACCGTATTTTTGTCTGCTTATCAGAAAGATATGATATAGTAAGCTAGATGGTCATTGGTGGAGTAGCAATTGGATAAATTAATACTGGTTATGTGAAAATGGCGGCAATTTTTATTTATATAAATTTTATATGAGCATCCATTGACCCTAAGGACAATACACTTGATCCAAAGGATTGGGTGGTCTTCAGATCTTCTCAAAAATATGCTACTGTTTTATACTTTTAGCTCCATGGTTATTCAAATTTAGGGTGGATATCAATAGAACATAATAGAGGGTGGTTCAGAAAGACGCAGATGTTGACCCTTCACTATAGAAGTGAAATGTGCTTCTCTATTACTGCTTTATACTTTTATTGTGACAGAAGAAAATTATTAAATTCACAGAGAATAATCCACTAACTGTATTTAAATTAGAATAATAAAATTATAAACTCATGCAGTTGAAGGAAGCTTTTTAGTTTGGCCATCAGGTATAATCATCTGCCCAGATCAAGAACCCAAATCAAAGCACTCCTGATAAATGCCTCTCCAGCCTCTGCTTGAACTGTTGAGAAAAATCATTTTTCTATAATTTTCAGCTGGAATTTGTGTTCTTGTTAATTTGATTCCATTGCTCTGTATCCTGCACTCTGGAATGAAGAGAACAGATCTTTGGGTATTAAGGAGTGCTACCATATTCAGTCCCATTTGCTCAAAGCTAAATATACTAGTTCCCTCTCTCTCTCTCTTTACGGACTTAGTTTCTAGTTTCCTGATTATACTTAATGCCATCAAAGCACCCTGGCATAAGACAAAACTTTTCTAGCTTACCCTACAGCCTACCGGTAAATTGCCTTGTTCCAGTAGTGTTTCTTCTAGCTCAGGGAGCTTTCCAAGGCTTAAGCAAAAGCCTTTCCCAGACTTTTATTGACATCGCTTTAGCCAAGGTTCGCTGGGGATAAGATCTGAGAAAAAATGCTCTACACATTAAGCAGAACAACACTGGTATTTTCTCTTGGGTACTTAAAAAATAAAACAATACTTCCTGAGGCTAGCAAGAAATAAGAAAAATGAAAGGGAGCTCATCAAATATGAAATCCCAGACTGAGAAGGTTGTCCATTTGCTCAACATTCTGACCTATAGACAGACCACTGCAGCCTTTGGGTGCTGCCTTTCCTCACAAGATCTTGGTTGATCTCAAAAAGCTAATAGGGGTGGATCTGCTAGCACTTGGTTGAGGGAGGAGCCGCAAAGAAATATAGGTAGTCCTCTGGTTACAACCATTCATTCAGTGACCATTCAAAGTTACAGTGGTGCTGAACAAGGGGATTTATGACTGGCCTGCAAAGTTGTGTGGGTCATGGGCCCATTCTTATTTGCTAATGTTTAGGAGGACTTAATCACTAGTCCTCCCCCTCACATAATGCTTATTAATTTAATGGGGATGCTGTTAGGTTAGGATGCACACCAACACACACACATACAGAGTATATATATCCTATTCACAGAATTAACCAAAGAGCTCCATGGTTGGTTAGTTGACCCATGTTTGGCTAATTACATATTTATGTTTGGGAAGGAACTTTGTGCAGATTACCACGTCAGTGATCCTTGGGAAACAGTACCTTTATAACAGCAAATAGTTTGGCTCGTTTGAGTCAATAGGTGCTATTTGTTCATTAGGTACAACACACTACAGATGCATTTCATAGCAAAACAGGTAAACTGACATTATTTTTTGTACATGATACAGATAGATCAGATGCTGATGAAATGGGCTGCACTCTTTTTGGGCTATAATTACTTTGTCCAGCTCACCCAAATATATTCTAATATATACTGATTATGCAATAAGAAGTGATGCCAATATCACTGTCAATCATATTGATGGAACAATGGCCATGGAAAGCGGTATGCAAATAGTTTGCCAGTCAGCTCCAATATTTCCTATTATTTTTAATCTGTATTTTGCCATAGACTCTATAATATAGAGAGCTTTCCATGATTTGGCATCCTTCAAGTACATTGGGAGTATTAATGCCTGGCATTCCCAGGCAGCATGACCGTGCTAATTGCTAACAGAGAGTGCCAGAAATAAAAAGGAGATATCTATTTATATATCCAAGTGAATATAGTTTATAGCCTGGCAAAGCTGGCTCTTTTGCTTGTCCAATGCTGAAACGATCATATTGTTTTGTAGCTAACTAGAAGTTGTTAATGAATCTACCTGCTGTAACGTGTAAAACTTTAAGCAGCAGAAGCTCTGGCTACCATATGGGCTGTATGGAAGGACTGGAATATGGAACGTTTTTGACCAAATGAAAAATCATGTTATGTCTAAGCTGCACATAAAGCAAAGTTTAGGGTTACAGGATTGGAAACATTATGGACCGGAACAAATGGTTGGTTTAAACTCATCTCTCCCTACCAATTTACTTTAAGCACTGCTAAGTGCAGAAGAGGTTGGCTTTCA